ACTTACGGGATTTTTCGTCCGCTTTTTTCGGCGTAATTTTCAAAAAAGTAATTCTCCAGGCCAAAGGACATCACAGTTCTGTGAGCAGTCAGAGCTTCCTGTGCGACGCTTACTCCGGCTGCCAGTTTTGCTTCCTCTGAGGATGATACGTCTTTCAACTGAGAGAAGGAAAACCGGACATTTATGAGTAGGGTGGAAGCTACTGTGCTCACATCTAGTCCTCCTAGATTCTTTTAGACGAACCTAGCGTGCTAATTTTAGCCCAAAACGAAAGATTGATGCGGATGTAGTGTAAAACAATGGCAGAGTTAGCAGAGAATAGTGCAACAATCGAAATTTTGACAAACACAGTCCAATAATTATTAGGGATTTGGCAGATTACACTAATTTCCGTTGATCCAATTGTGGAAAACTCGCGGCCTCGGTGGGAGTTGAACCCACACAGCAGGAAAGGCTTCTACGCAGTCAACGCTCTGCCAGCCGAGCTACAAGGCTCACCGTGAGCCGTGAATCTAATAAAACTTGAGTCGATTTGCTTGCCCAACCTACTGCTCGTATGGAATCCGCCAGTACGGATACAGTAGGCCGATTGCCAGGCAGGACTTCCTAAGTAATCATTTAGAATCCGCCGGAGGGACTAATAGGCTAACCATAATTATAAAGGGTTTGGTAGATTTAAACAATTTCAGTTGACCCAATTGTGCGATTAAATTCAAGACGAACTTCGCAGGTCAATAGTAGAGCATTGGCTGCACAAAACCCTTCCCTTCTATCTGAGTTCGGCTCCCACTAAAGCCGCGAGTTTTCCACAATTGAGTCACTGAAAGCAGTCCAATAAGTCAGGTAAAATAAAATAGCATGCAAGTAGAAAATAACTTGGCTAAGGATGAGGGAACAGGAGAGCTCCGGTCATTTAAAATTGCTGGCCTTCAGATATGCTTAAGCAAGGGTGCACATTCCCTTGTCTTAACCCTAGCACTCAACCAAAAACAAAATTATTGCCTTTATATTAAATTTGGTCCTAATCTAAACATATACGCTCAGCCCTTAACATAATCCTGTCCCTAACCCCCATGGTGACCTTAACGCCAATCTTAACACTGTACCCCACTGCGCCACGGGCAGAAGAGTAAGTCCCAAGGCAGAACGGGACGATTGAGTCCTGTAACCGTTCAGTGAGCACCCGATCGGATGAAGAGGGAATGGGCCCGCAACAGACTGTATCAATCTACTGGCATTTTCTGTCGTCCCTCCTCTTTCTGCAATTATAACTTGGCTACATTCGGTCTGGTAGTGGGTTACCTGTTCGTGACCTTTGCTACCCATACGGAGCTTGTTTGCTTCGGGATGCCAGTAGATCGGTGTACTCTCATTCCTCGTTTAATGTCGTTCCTGTCTTCTGCATATAAATATGTACTCAGGAGGGGATTGCAGAAAAAAAATAGAGACTGGAACGACCATATCCGGCCTTTGAGCCGTCATCAGCCAGTCATGCCCAATCCCAGTTGTTGCAAGCTCCAAAGCGCGAACACGCGACTTGGTAGTTTGAATTTCAGAGCCCTAACTACTGAACTACGGACTCGTTGTCTGTCAGTTTCGATGGGGCGCTCACCGCTCCGTCATTGACCGACAGTGTCCAAAAGCCAAGACGTTGCGGAATCTTAAGTTCACATGGTATCTGTTGCCCTCCAATGAATACCCACTTAGCTCCGTAGACAAATGCTTGTACCGAAGGCGTAGGGAGGGCAACAGAGAATTGCTCTGCATGATGAAAGTATCCAAAGGCGCTGAGCATACCACCCTGAAAATTTATAAAATATATCCTTCGGAAGGTGACAGACTCGAGTAATAAATCCCACTGAATATGCAGCTAGCCTCGACAGGGTTATACTTCAAGCTAAAAAAGCATCCATCTAACCCCTTGATTAGTTCACACAAGTTAATAGTTAAGTTCACCTTAAATGAGGGGCGTTATAGAAGATCCTGCTTAAAGGGCGCATCACTGGAGCAGAAACCGTGGTCCCAGTTACTGTACTAACCTCACAGAATAATCTATTTAACCAGTTTACCTAATGGCAACCTGGAAAGTTTAGGCTAGCGTCCTGTTAACCCCAAGGAGAGCTAGGGAGAGAGGCTAATGTGCATGCTGAAAATGTGAACATCAGTCATCCAATATCCACGAAAAACAACAAAAAACATAGCCCTAGCCGCCGGAATGTTTATTTTATAAACCTACCAGGGTGCGAAATCCGAGCTTGAACTATTACCTTCAGAAGTGTAAGGTTAGGAGAAAATTCCCGTTTAAATTAACTTCCTTCGTTACATTTTTTTGACGATACTGACTTAGAGGATTGAAATAAATTCAATTATGATCGTAATTACTCCAGCACGAGTCTTTAAACCTAGCAATCCTCAAGTAGGTCGTACGCTGGGCCCCGAGCCCAAGGAGAAAATGAATTATTGACAGTTGATTAAATTGGCTGATGACATGGCCTAAAAGACTGCTCACGAAAGAGAACAGAAGAATCCATGAAGGAAGTGCAAAAAAATATTACCAACATCAGGATGCTCTTTGAGAACCGTTGCGCAAGAAGCAACGTAAGCTGTAATCACAAGGATAGCATGTTGATGGCATCTCCTTCTGGCTATAAGCTGGCAAAATCTACGCTCATTGATAAGGAGAACACGGCTCCCAAACGCAATGTTAAGGATCGCCCAGACAATAGCACTAAGGTCAAGTTCAGGTATGGACTGGAAGACAATCTATCAAGCCTCTTCTCGGCAAAGGACCTTATTTATCATATGGGTCAGTGCGCCACCCCGTAAGACGATCTAACTAGATTCTTATACACCACCTCGATAAAAGGGCACGCCTAACACTCCAGAATTTCTCAATAACGCGGACCGCCGCTGTCAGCGAGAAGTTGAGTCTCGAACGAGATCATTGCACTTCGGCGGGTTATCGCTGGCTGGGCTGGCTGGGTTCACTCGTCACTCTCTCAGGCGAGAAGTATGTAGAGTTGCAGATAAAGGATGACGGGAGCGAAGCCTCTGGCTAAAGGCTTTTTCCGCATTTAATCCATTTTCGGTGTTTGAGGCAGCTTCTCATAATTGCCTACTTGAAAGCATTGCATATCTGCTCGTCGTGCTCACGTCCGTTTGCTATTCTCTACAGCAGGCAAAGTTTTGACGTTGGCAGCAAACGCTCACTTATCGGTTTCGGGGTTCATTCTCGCAGAGCCACACAGCGAAGAGTATTAAAGGCAAATGAGAATTGGTGACAAAGACGGGGGAGACTGGAATAGCCGTTTCTAACTTATTATTATTAATCATCATCAGCCAGTCATACCCAATCTCAGGTGATGCAGCACCCGGGGCTCGTAGTGGGCTGGAGCGTTGCACTTCAGATCGATAGGTCGTGGGTTTAGACCTCCGGTGGTGCATCGCCTGTTGGTTGGATATAGCTGGCTGATGATGGCTAATAAGCCAGAAATGGCCATTCCAGTCTCCTTTACCTTCGTCGACAATGCCCACCTGTCTCGAGAGTGAGCCAGTGGAAAAAGTTAAACGGAGGATTTCAAGTTATTTACATTTTGGCATCAAACGCAATCAGTCTCGCCCGGTTGCAAATCACAACGTCATTCCAACAACGTAAAGCATCAGATTGAATGGCTTCTCTATAGTGAGCCAAAACTCCATTCAGGCAACGCAAGAACAAAAACAGAAACTACCCTTTTTTGCAACACGATGAAAGCCGAATAACTTAGACGGCTCTGCTATCAGGTAGCTGCACAACTTCAGGCCACTGGAGTGGGTAGAACAAAGGCATCCATTTAATTCTTGTATAGCCAGAGCTGCATT